ACTTGATCCATTGAATAAAAGTTAAATGAAAACAGAACTAAAGATATTTTTCCATACTTTGAATTCTAAACAGTTAACTCATCTTTAAACGTTAAAACGTTCATGACAGATTTTATTATCATGATGATGATTATTCGATCAAGAAATAATTTCAATTTGAGATGGAAACTAATAAATCAACTTTTAGAAAACTGAAATAAAACTTAATCTACGAACTGTTTCAAACAAAATTATACTTTGATATGTAACTGAGATGGTGAAGATTTGTAGCTCAGGTGGATGATTTTCGTGAAATTTTGTTCTCTGAACTGAATAGTTTGGTCGTGGAGCTTTCATTGTTATTCTGGACGATATCGTCAGCACAAACTTCAGGTGGAAGTTTGTGAACGGGTACAGTAATCTACTTACGTCTCATCGGATCATACCACGGAGAATCAGTTAGATCATATTTGTATCGTTAAAAAATTCAGAAGTACAATGGAAGACATGAGAACCAGTAGAGGAGCTGACATAACTTCAGATCACCACCTAGTTGTGGCCAAGATGAAAATGAAGCCAAAGAAGCATTGGACAACTGGAGAAACATTAGTACAAAGGTTCAATACAGCCTTCCTACTAGATAGTGACAAACTCAGTGAATTCAAGATAGCTCTCAACAACAGGTTCCAAGCCTTACGGGTTACAGTGAAAAAAAAAGAAACCAGTATGTAGAGCAGTTGGAAAGGGATGAAAAAAGCACTAAATTCAACGTGTCAAGGGGTGCTGTGTTGCAATAAATGTCATCATAAAAAAGAATCTCCATCGAAAACCTGGACACGATACAAGAAAGAAAGAACAAGAAGACAGCAAATAACAACAACCGAACAAGAACAGAGAAGTTCAAGGTACAAGCTGAGTACACAGAAGCAAACAACCAAGCGAAATGGAGCATTAGAGCTGACAAGCAGAAATACGTTGAAGGTTTAGCAACGACAGTGGAAAAAGCTGCGAGAGAAAGAAATATGAAACAACTATATGAGACGACGAAGAAACTGGTAAGGAGATATGATCAACCAGAGAGATCCGTCAAGGACAAACCAATCTCTGAAATTCAAGAACAGAGGAACAGACGAGTGGAACGCTCCGCGAAACTCTCGGATAGACCAGCCTCTTTGAACTCATCAGACATCGAAGCAGCACACTCAGACCCTCCTATAGATGTCACTGCCAACGGTCGAAGAAATCAAAATGGTCATCAGACAAATCAAAAGCGGGAAAGCAGCATGATCAGGCTATGATTTAATACAGAAAAATAGCTGCAACAATGCTCAACATTCTATTCAGAAATATTTGGGAGGGAAAACATGTACCAGCAGAATGGAAGGTATAACATCTCATCAAGATATCAAAGAAAGAAGATCTGAACAGTTGAGAAAACTACAAAGAAATCACACTACTTTCAGTACCAGGAAAAGTTTCCAACAGTGGTTTTGGAGCGAATGAAATATTCAGCAGATGCTCATCTTTGACATCAACAGTTCGGATTTCGTAAGTACCGGTCATGCATAGACCAAATCGCTACGTTTTGGATCATTTTTGAACAATCAATTGGACGGAATTCGTCACTATACGTCAACGTCCTCGACTATGAGAAGATGTTTGGCATTGTGGATAAACGATCCTTATGGAACTTTCTTTGATCCTATGGTGTGTTTGAGAAGATCGTCAACATCATCCGGAATTCATGTGATGGACTACAGTGCAAAGCCGTTGATGGAGGACAGCTCACAGATGCTTTCCAAGTGAAGATGAGTGTCAGATAGAGCTTTGTAATGTCTCCCTTTGGTTTTCTTCTGTTGCTTGACGATATTATGAAGAACTCCAAATCTCAAGGGAAGCACGGAATAAAATGAACATGTAGGATGCAACTAGACGATTCGAACTTCGCAGAAGACCCGGCCCTTCTATCCAGCACAAGCAAATATACGCAGGTCAAGACAAATAGTGTAACAGAAACCTATGCATCAGTAGGCCTCAATATACACAAGGAAAAAGGCCAGATCCTCAAATGCAAAATAGAGAACACCACCGCAATCACATATGATGGAGAACACATGCCTGTACCTGGGTAGCACCCTCGATGAACAAAGGGGATTGGATGTAGACGTAAAGGCGAGGATTTTCAAAGCTAGTGCCTGACTCCTCCAAGTGAAGAACATATGGAACTCAAAACAACTTTCAACCAATAATCAAAGTCAGAATCTTCAATACGAACGTCAAGACAGTCCTAGTGTACGCAGTTGAACCGTAGAGAACTACCACAACCATCATCAAAAAGGTACAAGTATTTATAAATTTTTCTACATAAGATATTCAATATCCTCTGGCTTACTGTGGGGGGGGACAAACCAGCTTTTAGACAAAGAAGAAATTAGGAAAAGACATTGGAAATTGATATGACACACATTGAAGAAATCTTCGAGCTTCATCACGAGGCAAGCACTAGCTTGTAATCCTGAACGAAAACGGAAAAGATGAAGGGTGAAGAACACACTACGTCGAGAATCGGAAGCAGACCTCAAAAGGATGAGTAGCAACTGGGAAGAACTAGAAAATATTGCCCCGGACGGAAATGGATGGAGAATGCTGATGAGTGGCCCATGCTCTTCCATGAGGGGCAACAGGCGTAAGTAAGTAAAGTAATAATTACTGAAAATTCCTGTTAAATGCAATGATGGCGGAACTGTCGTTTAAAAAAATACGGAGGTGTGTGGAATGAGATTGAAAAAAAATTGTAATACAATTCGTGACGAATTGAAAAAATAGAGTTTAAATCAAATTGTGAGTGGCCGTGAAAACAATCTTCACTCGGTCTCTTAACATTCTCGATTGTCCTGAACGATGGCGCCGCAAATGGAACAGTGAAATTTACAGGATCGTGGTTGTGGGTCCCAGGCACAAAACGAATGGGACGTTTTTGATGGAGTTTTGTTCTATGAGCTGGATGGTTTGGTCGTGGAACTTTCATCGTTCTTCTGGACGACATCATTAGCACAAACTTCAGATAGAAGTGAAGTGTTCGGATTTCTCCATATGTGTTTCACAGCTTGCTCTGTGCACCTCGATGTTGATTGGTTCTTGTTGACCTTAAATTTGTCATTGTTTACTTCTTTGTTTTGGTTGTGTCTCCCATTGGTTTGATTTTTGTTCCTATATTTGTGCATAATTTTCCTGATTGGTTAATAAATTGGATCGAAATCAATGTGCTTGTGATTGCTGATTGACCTGAGCGCCAGGCTTCTAAAAATTCTCTGGTGTTTTCGGAATTTCCTCTGTCCAAGATTTCCATATTTTTCCAATCGAATGAGTGTCCACAGTTGTCCACGTGTATTGATATAAGTGAGGAAGTATCATGGCGTTTGACTGCTACTTGATTTTCATGCAGGCGAAGGTGAAGGAGGCGTCCGCTCTGTCCGATGTAGTGTTTTTTGCAGTTGGCCAAGCTCCACAACCAAACCATCCAGGTCAGAGAACAAAACTCCATCAAAATCATCCACCTGAGCTACACATTTTCTCCACCGTCTCAGAATGAAACGTCGCATTGCAGCGACAAAATATCAAGTGATTCTATTAGCAGTTTCACTTGGCGGCTGAGCAATGTTGCACGTGTCACACAGTCTGTTTCAAAATCCATGTCTGTTAATCTGTGTATCTAAGAGTTGGTTTCGTACCTCAGGTAATTGCACTCATGCTTGTGATACACATTCCCATGAACAACAGTCCAGTAACCTTCAATAAACCTACAATATATGAAGGCTGGACATTGAATGATCATTGCAGTCCTTCATATACCTCCTTCGCTCAATCGACTGTGATGATCTGCTAGGTGTTCTACGGACATTTCTCCAACATACAAAAGATGCTCTGTCGACATGTACTTACATTTTATATCAATTTTAAGAAATAACTAACCAATTATTACCAATTTAAAACTTATCGTTTAATTGGACGAAACGGAATGAAAAAAAATTAAAAATGGGATGAAAAAATAGAAAAATCGCCGTGCGTTTAATGATATTCTATAAATGAGTGTTTTAGACTAGACTGAAAAATCGTAATAGTTCCTTGTTTCCTCAAGCATAAGTAATAAACGAAGAGTATATAAAAAAGCCTGTGCACATATATGCCAGGTTTCACATTGTTTATAATTTATGCACAATGCAAAAATACATCAGTGCTAAATCAAGTCAGTAATAACCCAAAAGTGACTTTATTTTATTTTATAAAAAAGTGACACTGAGCGAAATGGTATTGAAATTCCCAAGAGATAGTAGTGTCTTTTGCAATTGCAGGTATGCTTTCTGCTATTAACCCTTAAACAACTAAGAAACCAGCTTCAATTTTGTTCACTCACACCTTTGTTTTCGGGTCATAGTGACTTGACACTTTAAAATATCATGTAACGTGGTAAATAAAATTGTACCTTTTTTAAGTACCCATAAAGTTATCATAAGAAATATATATTCACGATTTAACATAACAAGAAATCCCAAAATAAATATCCTATCCTGATAATTACAATGTGCTAACTAGTGACTAGCTTCGTGAGGGAATACTCAGGGTTTTAGTGAGAAGCCGTGACCTGTGGAGCTAATCCGTTTCGGGTAGAGACAGGTATCTACCTCAGTACAATGAAATATGGTCGCACAATTTCACGGATTGGTTGACGTTAAACATTAACACAGTTGGATACTGGCCAGCTCAGTGGTCTAGAGGTTAAACGTTCGTGCGCGTGACCGCTAGGTCATGGGTTGAAATCCCGCGAGCGGAATCAAGGATGAGCACTACTAAAGAGTCTCACAATAGGACGAAACGACCGTCCAGTACTTCCAACTTTTCAATAATCATCTAACATCAATCGATTCATCATCTCAATCAAAGAATTACTTTAAGGCATGATTAAAATTGAAATTTACATTAACTATAAATATCTAGTTAAAGTGTTTTGATTATGACAGTAATTTGAAACGAAAATTCCAATGAAAATGAATATAATTTTTTATGAATAAAATATTAAATTTTAAAAAAATTGTTAAATATTATCAACAAAATATAATTATGAATAATATTTATTATTTTATTGAATAATTATTTCATAATTTGTACATTGGATCCATATATAATACAATTATCATCTTAATAAGTTGATAATCTGTAATATTAGGGAAATTCTTTATTTTATTTTAAATACAATTTATCTATGAGTCTAGAAGAAGAAGAAGAAGAAAAGAAAAAAAAGAAAGAAATTCACTGAAGAATTAAAAACCACGAATTTCAGCGAAAGGATCTCTTTTCAACGAAGTTATTGTCAAGCTATACAATCGTGTACATATATATGAAAAAAAAAATATTTTTTTTCTTCGGAAATCAAAATATGAAAAATCAAAGGCTTATTGAAAGACAATAATCATAATAATAATAATAATAAAAAGAAAATATTACATCTAATAAAATAATATATTTACGATATTAAAATAAATATATTGACATTATATAAGTAGTCTATAGTATTCATACATTGAATTTATTGAAATGTTTAAAAGTAATCATCTTACTCTTTTTTCATTTATCCAATAGATAATGCTTAAAGAACAATTACATCATCAATAGAAAAGAAGAAATATTCAAGGAGCTTAAAAAATAGATTTAAATTCATTATGCATATAGGTTTTATATTGTATGGTACCAATTTACTGTATATATAAAGAACATGAAATAAAAGGATAACAAAATTCATCACTTTTGAAGCATATTATTTAGATGTATAATTTATTATTTATTTATTTTTTTGAGCAAATACTCTTGACAACATACATTTAGGTATCTGAATTCTAGAAATCAATTTTAAAAGACAAAAAAAATTGTTGAATCGGTTTGGAAATAAAAACCATATAACAAATAACTTGTTCTGTTATTGTATTTATCTGAAAGAATGACAGTAAACCAAGCAACTTTTCGTCTCATAATCTAATTGTATTATTTAGCTAAAAGATTGAGAGAGAAAAAAAAGTAGTAAATGAAAAATTGATTAAAATTTCAATGGTACAATTCATGAATATACATTCTGAACAACTATCATATAAATTTGAATAGCTTAATAAAAGTATACAATAGTCATTAAACATACAGTTATATTTCTTAAGAATATAATATGATTATATCTCACTGAATAAAATTATAATTCCTTGAATCACATGATGGAGATTAACATTTAATCTGTCCAGCTCCAATTAACTAGTCACGGTTCTCAAATCATCGAGTTTATAAGTACTTCAAAGTACGACTACATTAAATACTCAGAGTGCATGAATATCACATTTTATCAGTTAAAGAATCGAAGGAGAAGTTTTACATGAAAATGATTAAGAATGAATACAAATTAAAAACAAAATGTAGCTAATCCTTTATCAATCATACAGTAAATAAACTTAAAATTTCTCGAAGAATGCTGAACTCTTAAATACACATATAGCCAGACATTTATAGAACAGATCTTATTAGTATCATTATTCGCTTTTAACTAATATTTCCCCAAATCATTGAAATTCTTTTTATCTCATTCCACAAAAACAGACTGGCAAATTAAGACTTCAATTTCACAGCTCCATTTTTACAGACTAGGTTAAAATGTATAATTTATTTACCGAAATGAATAATGTAATTGAAATTAAGTTCAGTCATTTATATTTCTATAGCTATCATTCATGAGTACATAACTTTGGGAATGTAGAATGGAGTTCTTTTGCTCAGATTAACACGAGTATCTGACATATTAAAATTCATTGTCCTTCAGTTAGACGTTTAGAGCTAAATATCAAAATGCGATCATATAGGATATTTGTTATTCTTGTAAAACATTGTTTACGTCTAGATGAAAATGTATTTTTTATTTATACACGGTTGGTGAAAAATATTTTACATCGTACTCTTTCGATTTATCCATCATATAAAACCCATCGATATAGATAAATAATAAGTCGAGTAACTTGGAGATTTATAGAATGTTTAACTGAGCATAGTTCAGTACGAAGATCTACACTTTAATATTAGTAGCATTCTTTTTTGTTAAAGGTTCAGATGACTTGAACTATTTTTTATCAATACCAAATAGAATTACTCCGTTAAACGGTCACAGCTTTTTTATATTTACACCAGATGATAAATAGAATTTATATCATCTAACTTGACATACTACATTTTAAGGAAAAACAAACCCAATAAAAAAATGAACCCAGTAAAATCATTTCATTTCTAAATTATAAAATCATTTTACGTACAAAAGAAAAAAAATAGATTCATTTTTATATTGATTTCTTCAAGTTTTGTCATTCTTGTCATTTAAGACATTATCGAGGCAATTCATATAGGATACACATATACTAAAAGAGATCAATCAATTCCAGTCCTAAACAATTATAGTAACATTCAAACAACCAATGCAAATCTAAGTTATAAAAACACAAAATGGAAGGTTATATTTACTTTGATGAAGTTGGATCTTTTTATAGTTAGTATAACTATTGATTAATTGAACGTGTTACTTTTCCATGATAAAATAAATGACTAGACATATTCCCAATTTTACACGACACACTAGTTGTTTATCCGGCTGTTATTTGTTCACGTTGAAACTATACATTATTCATTTCGACATAAATAATTTAATATTACCGACATTTAGGTGTTAAAATGTCGACAGGGATATTTGATTTATATTTGGCTATTCTTCTAAATGCCTCACTTGAATGCATAATTATGGAAGCTTATGAGGTGTTATTGAAAAGAATATTTTTCTTTCATATATCTGTTTTAAATAACGATTTTATTCAAGATACAAGCCTCTAGACAAATAGCGAAACACATTTCCTCTTATTATTTACTTATTTATTTGAACACATAAATGTTGGTATAAAGAGGCACCGAATACATATGCGCCACACAACTGACTTGATTTGTGTGTGGACTGTGACTATACTCGAGTGCTCAGATCGAAGTAGGTGGTCAACGGAATTGTTTATAATGTATCGATGATATAGAGGTGAATTGATATAAAACACAATAAAGAACGTTTAATGCAGTAAAATTGATATTGAATGTTAAAAGCGAAGTATCTCAAATAGTTGATGCATTTTTGTTGTAACCAATCCCATTATTTAATCAATGTAAGTTACTTTGGTCAGAACCAAAAACAGTTTGATTATTCAAACTATCGTTTAAACAGGCAAGTCAGAAGTAAACCATTTAGGGATTGAACAAAAGGCAAAAGTTACTGACTTAGGAAATAAATATAAAACATAATTATATGAACGAAGAATATTCTTTTCAATAATTTCTCATCGGGTTCTATAATTATCATATCTAAATTAATAGTCCATAAAATTGGCCAGGTTTAAGGCAGAGTACATCATTTAAAATTGTAATATGCGAATCAAGAATTGTTTTTTGTCATATCAAATCAAATTAAATCGTTAATGTTGGGATAACTATTATGAAGTGTTAACTTGAATCAGTTTATAAGTGAAATGAAATTGTGAGATAAATGATCAGAACAAATGTGGTCAATATGGGGTGTGAGAGAATATAATGTAATTACAAATCATAAATTACGTAATATGTAGAATAATATGAATTAGGTCAGATATAGTAGATAGGGGTGGATGCTGAATAGATTTCTCAAAAAGGTTAGCAAGTGTAATAATAATAATAATAATAATAATAATAATAATAATAATATAAAACTGAATCTGTGTATCCAAATTAAGTAGATTTAAACTTTATTACTGCTATGAAACGGTACAGGGACAAGAGATTCATATTCATTTGCACTTTACAACAACTACAATACACATGGTGTGCTTTTCTCTTTTTATTTTCAATTCCGGCACCCAACTTTATTTGATTTAATTACATTGATCATGAACACTTGGACATATTATTTAGCCCATTTCTTTTTTTTACTATATCGTGCTAAAATCAAATGAGTTGAATTCACGCATTATATATCCTATAGTTCTGATTCTTATTTTCACTGTCTTATTTTAGCTGCAGTCAAATTCAGGTATACATTAAACGTAATCAATCTATTGTTTACAGATATCAGCAAAATAATCCAAGCTATAAGTGGGAATTCGTTTTCTGCACCTTTTTCAAAATATTTGTACAAAAATTTGGAAATACTTAACATTGACTATATGTTATACATTCTTCCTTATATTATTTTACAATATAGAATTGTGTGGATCAAGTGGCCTCCTGAAGAGATTCCTGTATTTTTCGAAATGATGCTAATAAAAGCAATCATCAATTTCGATAAATAAATTCAATTATGTTATCTCTGATCTATAACATCAATTAAGTTGTCTTTGTGTGTATTTAAATATGTTCAATATTTTTTATTATTATTTCTAGGTATTTAAAAATAATTAACCCAAGTTACTTGATTGAATTTTAGATTAAAACCATAACGCTGTGATGCATTTATCTTAACTTGTAAACAATTCACAATAATTACATATTTTGCACTCATAAGAATAAATAGTTAGCCTCAATATTTTTTAATGAGAGATTTGCAAGTAGTGATGTCAATCAAGCTAGAATAAATAATACTGAAGATAGACTCTTCAGAAGATTTCCAAATAATATTATATAACATTTAAATGCAGTTCTAAAATCTTCAATATCCCTTAATCTGTTTAGAAGTCAGATCATCCTATTAATTTCTATCATAATTTTGCTTACATAATATGGAAGGTGAAACATTAGGAGAAAAAACATAGAATTTCAATAGATATGTCAAGTGTTATGATACTATATTAGATGTGTTCAAATTAGTGAATAATGAATATTTTCGCATCATGAGCCTTTTCGCTACACAGACTACCTGTGGAGTTCTATTAAATAACATCGTTCTACAGTTACATGTTTGTTAGTTAATTTCCTTTAGAAAATAAAACATATCACTATGATGTGGTATAGTAAAACAAATAATCATTCATAAGCAATTAGTCATTTATCTTATAAACAAACATTGTAAAATTAATACATACAGTGTGTTATGAAGCCATAGAGAGAATGTAAATTCAGTTTTGAAGAAAATATGTTCATATTTCCAAATATACTAGCATAGTAATCTTATTCAAATCTCATTATACAAAAAAATGTATGATCATAAAACAAGTTGATTATTACAAGTTAGCTTTTCTAATATATCGCATGATTGACAGTTGATGATTAAAAAGAAGTTTATAAACAAAGTTGCTTGGAAACAACCAAGAAACCAAACAGTATATGAAATTAAAAATCAACAGTTTTCTAAGAAATGACAATAACGAAACTTTACTATATATGGAGCAAGTCGCATAAGTGACAGTTGAAAATCATAGTGTGCTGGAAAACTTTTTCTCATTGTGAGACTCTATAAGCATGTACATTATTATTCTATTCCAAAATTTGGATCATGACACTTGGTTTATGTTCTTTTTATATATGTTCACTCAGTTCGCCATGTAAGAGTATGTTGGTTGCAATATGTAGTGGACCTTAAACGAGATAATTGAAAGACTTGATATTGATAATGTCTTGAGTAGAATATAAGACAATAAAATATGATAAATTAAAATAAACTCTCCCTTAAAGATCCCCCAGTAAACATACATATATATCATTACTATACAGTTGATTTCTTATCAGACCGTATCACTACAGTTAACTCAAGCCGATAAAAGATCTTCCACTTTTAGAATACTATTTTCTAGCTAAGTGCTTGGTTGATCAGAAAAATGATGTCTTTTGAACAACAACAAATTACTGTAACACCTATGACTCAGAAGCTCTAAGAAGTCTTTCATCATGATGGGAAAATATCAAAGGAGAGAAACACAAAAGTTTCATCTACGAAATATTGTGTTAATTTTATTTCGGTTATTTATGTGCTCTGAAGAAGTGATTAGCATCAAGTCACGAAACGTCAGAAATACAATTTTCTACTCATTGGGACATCACAAAAATATATTTATTATTAACTTTCTACCTAATTCTAAATTTATTTGAAACTATCAAGTCCAACCACGGTAATGTATCCAGTTTAAATGTGGAAATTGGGGATTTTAGTTAGATAAATGAAACATGTAATTTTGTGAAATGTAGCCAGAAAAAACTTTGTGATTCAGAAAAATACCGTGATTGTGTGTGGAAGCAATATAATGTATTCATGACCTAATGAATTCAACATTGTTCATATCATGGGATTATAAAACCCAGGAATCATCACAACTCATAGCAGAATAAATGTAACTTTTGAAGACATTATAGAATGAAACTAACGTAATAAATTAGACAAAACAGTAAACAGCGAGCTATAAAATGAAATAAAAAGCCAGCTACTTGACAAAGCTATAGTTACAAGCTTTATGATCTCTTATGTCACCAAGGTGTAGCAATGAATCTATACATACAGTGAGGTCAACAGGATAATCACCGAAAACCAGATGGCACTCAACGGCCACTTCATCACAGTTTATACTGTTAGTTGATATAAACCAATAACTTATCACAGGATACAACCAGTGAAGAAACGACTTGTCATTCAGAAAGATTCTACCTTCAAACAATCACATAAATAAATGAGACTAGAATAATAAATTCGTATAACACTAAACAAAGAAGAGTCTCAATATGAATAAATCAATGATTACTCATCAGGTAAACTCCGAAAATTAAAATCATAAATCTAATATCTCTGAATAAAACTTATAGTAACAAGAGATAGTTGTGACAATCTTGAGATAAATTCAAAGTAAGAGGGATAGACCTAAGAAGTAATTGTTAAGTTCACTCTTATTCACGAATAATGAGATGATTGTAAGAATTTCCCCCACCACTGCCGTTTTAACCTTCAGATAATGTAAAATTCATATATAACAATAATACTCTTAAAACCATTCATACATGAGAACTTATTGTAAGTAACCCTATATTTATAGCTTTGCATCGACACTGGTCTCGATTCTGGTAGTGGGTACATCACATTACACGAGTTACTAGTAATAAAACGTCAATATGATTCGAAACTAAGTGATACTTCCAAGACCGTAATCAAATAACTTCATGAAATCGGTTCCCTTAATAAACGTTTGTAAATCAAGAATGATGAACATTGTGTAGTGAATTGAGTTCACTTTTTTTTGTGAACAATAAGTCATTCACATACATACTGATTTGCGCAAATAAATGAAATGTTTTATGGTTGTAATTTAATCTGTAACACGTAAAAAATTCATTTGGTTCACTAGTGAGAAGAACACATTGTAAATACTTTTCACTTTCATACAAGCTTAACACATAAATCAAAGGATTAAACCAAAATGAGATTATAACATAATCGGACATAAGAAACATGTCTAATTCAATATAATTACGATGGACAAAGTCGTGTAAGTGATAGTAATTACTAAAAACTACAATATTGGAGTAATTTTAATAATAATAATAATAATAATAATAATAATAATAATAATAATAAAATTATTAATGATAATACTATTTTTAGATGGCATGAAAAAAAGAGAAAGTAGTTGGATATCCAAATTGATAAGGGGTTAAATATTTTATTGAATAATGGTGAAATAATATGACTAATTTTAATAACTATTAGTTGAAAATGATATTAAAGCTGAACTAAAATGAACAATCCAAATGTTTTGATTAAATAAAGACGAGGCCAAGCAAATAAAACCGATAAGATGAAGGGAAGGGAAGCCCAACATTCAGTCGATCACCATGGCAGCGCCAGGTGAAACAAATGTCCTTTCCCCATATGTAAATTGAGTTTTAGAGGACGAAAACCAGGCGATTGTTGATAGCTGAGTGTACAATTATATAATAATTTATAATTTTATTAGGTAACTTATACATTAATAGTATTTGAAATGATGTTCTTGCCTTTAAATAACGGTATTACACTGCAATTAAACTTGACTGAAAAATAACTTAGAATATGCTGAACAGCCTTGAGCTCAATGAATGCTTCCTAGAAAAGAATAAATCTACATTACTCCGTATTCATTACGCGAGTCAGGCGAACAAAATAATGATTATCATCTTTCTAAAGAATACGAGGAGCGTTTACTAGCCCATTTTTCTCAATCATTTGTTTTGTTTTCGAGATATAAAAAACACTCATTGTATATCAGTATTTTAAAAAGTTGAAGTTTACCAAACAGAATTAATAATGATGAAGAATTTGAGCGAAATAACAAAACTTGGGGGCATTGAACATAACTATGTTGTTTTTCTAGATCGAATAGTATAAATAGTATAGAGCTGGATTTAGAAAGTTAACCAACATGAACGATCAAAGTATAAACTTGAAATTTATAGAACTGTTTTCATAAAAATAATAAACCTTTGTCTGGACTTTTCTTATTGGAGCCGAAAATTCTTGAGTTCGATTGCTTCCAAGGTACTGGCAAAATTAGACTTCCATAATACAGCTAAAAAGCTGTAGAGTGCAAAACAGGATGGTACAGCATCCAATAAGTGGTCGTAGAAGACCTTAGCAAATATAAATAACAGCAGCTAAACAGTTATACTTAAAAATCCCGAGTATAGTTATCATGCTATATATTGAAACAATTCGATGTGGAATGTAAGTTGTAATCAACACAGGATTTCGAGCATAGATATTGCTTCAGCTTACCTTACTATATAGGTACATCGAGATGAAATTCTTGAAATTGATTTGTAAAAATACAGGAAACTATGTGCTAGATCAGAAACCTGGGATATAAAGCAGAAACAAGTGAGTGCGCCTGAGCAATTCAAACCGATTCTATCTCCTAATATACAGAGTCTCAAAAGATTAGTTGCGGTAATTGCGTTAAACTCAGCCAGGCAATCTGCACATAACCAAAAGGCTCGGACGAAGAGTCAATAAATGCGCGGATCTATCAAACGTCCAGGTTTGATAACATATGGGATTTTTAAGGCTTGTATGCATTATCAGCTATATCGAATGTCCAGGAAGACGGAGGCTGGCAATAAAAACTAGACGTCCGAACTAAAATTGGACGAAGAATGACCACAGAATTATATGATATTAAAGCATGTGGAAGGATACATAGAAGGATAATTAAGCAGCAAATAAATCTATAGGAAAGAAAAAGCCATGAAGATCAGTAGCATGAAAAAAGAAGAAAAGTTTACAGAATATATCACAATAAGTCTCACAAACTGAACTCAGAATGATGACTAGCAGAACACATATTACATTGTCATAGGAACAAATACCAATATATAGACGTTATAGCACTACAAATCAGCCTTTTTCTTAGGCGTTTCTTATCTTAAACTATAGTAGATCGACGTCCCGGAGGATGAACATGAGGTTTTTCCTATTAAAAGGTATACACCCTACGCCTAAAAGAAGTGACTAGAGAACTGATTGGACAGAAACTTAGTGGAAATATAAGAGAATCCTGGGCATTTCAATAAATCCATTTAATCTGCGGGGGAGCAGAAGGTTCAATACATCGTTTGAGAGTCCCGCTGGAATAGCTATTCCAACCGTTGAAACGTCACTACTAAAGCTACAGACTAACCAGCTAGCCCAGTAACTGTAACTTACATGACATATTTTTATTACATGGTCAAAGTTTTACATGGGCTACTGATATGCTAGACGTGTCACAACGATTCATGTTATCACCCGATATTTTTACCCATTATATTTAGTACTAATCATAAGGGTTCGAGTTTCACATTTAAAGTAAATAACACGATAAATGATGATGTAAATTGACTCTACGTTTTAAGACAGAGCTTAGGTTGAACTACGATAGAATGGTACAACCAACGTTACTCAAGTACTGATTGTTTCATTAAGTTGTTTCAAATTTAATTTCTTTGTAAACACCATCAAAAATATCATTAATCCTAGAATAAGTGGATCTAGTTTGCAGATGGATTACTACAATGAACAAATCAAATCAAAACCTAAGATGAATACATTTTTGCTACAATTCAATATGAAAATCCATATAATCATGGTGAGCAACAAGTAAGAAGAAAGTAGATATGGGGTTATTACATAATGACATCAGACGACATAAATTTATTTAGAGAATACAAAAGTCAATGGATAATTCAGTTCAACATTTGTTTTGTTTTAAAAAAATTTCTAAACACCACGAGAAGTCAATCGATTCACATCAGAGTATAAATCTCTCAACTACAGTGATAAATGGAAAGGAAGAGATATCATGTACGAATTAAATAACAGTAGATGCACTGAATGTTTGCCAGAGTATTTCTTCCTAGTTACACTAATTCTAGTACAATGAACACTTCCCGAATTATGTACAGCCCGGCGAGACGTTAAAATGGTTATCTCAGAGAAATATGTTTCGACACTTTTGGACATGTGAAAGTTTAAAGAGAACTCATAGCGATCATAGTTAGGGCATTTCATTTTAATATTTAGGTACTAATAGTTTTAATAGTAGGAACTACTTTTTAAATGTCAATATTACGTTAACTGTTTCTGGTCAACAATATTTCAAATGAGATACAACTGGTTTTATTTTATTTGCTACGATATAACAATATCTCGCTTGAGAAACTGTCTGTCCAGCTGGTTTTTGACACCAAAAAATATTTAGATAGTATCGCGGTCAGTTGATCAGTGATTAGTCTATATCACTGTACAACAGTTTAAACGATGAGTTTACTAACTGTGCGTCTACACTGCTACGTATGTTAGATTCAGTTGAACTGAATTTATCAAAAATATGATAATTTGGGGTTTGAAAAGGCTTTGATAAATTTAGTAAGTAATTAGGTCAACTCAATATTGTTGCTTAAGTGACAAATCTTACAGGAATACAAGCTACGCTGAAGTGGAAGATTAAGGAATAAAGTTAACCTAACATTGAATGAGATTCAAAAATAAAACGTCGTTAGAAATAGTTGATAAAGGAAAAGAACATGTTTAACAAAAACTATTCCTTTAAAGAGTAAAAACAATAAAGAAAAAAACTGAACTCTGAATGACGATTAGTAGAACCCGTACTACATTATCATAGAAACAAATACCAGCACATAGAGATCTGAAAATTGTTTCTGCCACTTCTACTTTTCGAACGATTACTACATGTAGTAATATTAAAGGTAGTTGTGAGAAACGTATATCCACAAATTCAGGACGAAGTAAAGTGGTACAATATAGAACTTTACACTCGAAAACCAATTATCAGCTACGCTAATCGGAAGATTAGTTTTGCAGGTCATTTAATAGGCAAAGACAAGTATGCATACTAATTTCAAAGACCAGTAACACTGTTGTCTATAGAGATGGCAAATTTTATAAAATATAAACCTCAAGATAGATGTTTCAAACCAACTTATGTTAACAACACATGAAGAATCAGAAGGATAATCTGGAAAATTACAGATCTAAATGATATAATGTAGTTAGATAAAGCTTTGGATATAATTTAGAGAAGACTAACGAGCAGTGGCTACGGTTGTAAACAGTCAACAAAATATGCGTGACTAAGATTAAAGTGTTGGTTCGGAAATCCATCTCTCACCATACAAAATATTAGTAAATTATTTTTATATTGGCATAGTATAGTAGGACTAACAATAAAATGTGGCCTAATCTATATCTTTATGCTTTAATCGCAACGGATCTATTTTTAAATAAAAGCAAAGCAGTACATTTGGTCCCTAGATAGAAGACATTGTATTCAGAATCATCACTAACAAAATCCACGCTAAAGTGAAACGGCTGAAAAAATCTTCCTAGTCTTAGTCCCTTACTATGGTCATGAATAATCCGTGAGTAAATAAGTGAAACCAAAGCTCAAAGTCCCTTGAAGGTATATAAATTTGAAAGCTGTATCAACATTGAAGCTATGCTATCAAACATACTCTAATTGGTTCGTGTTACCTGGTAGTGGGTAATGATTGTGAGTAACTCTAACATAAGTCAGAATAACAACGTCACTGTGATGTCCTGCACTCAAAGAGTAAGAAACGACAGGAATGTTTGTAGCTCTCTCTGTCTCTACAGACCGGTAAACTTCTACAAACTGTTTTGAAGACGTTAGATGCAAATGGCGGAAAACTAGAAATATCCAATGCTCATCAAAACACGAGATTGAAAGTTCTCTCCGTGTGAATAGGTTTCTTGAGAACAGTAAACGTAGATGACGTGTTTCAAGCCAGATACTCAAACAAGTTTGTTTATTTTAAAATGATATTGACATGAGTTGGGTCAAACCCAGAAATTACTAGAATTCAAAAAACCAAACATCTTGTTGGTCTTGCTTCTCGATATGACTGTGTAGCACCTTTAGTATTTACAGTGTCAAAATCAACATTTTTACCTTGATGTTTTGGAGAAATGAGCCTATATGCGATTAATTAAGACAACAGTTCACTGTCAATCTGTCAAGTGCATGCAAAATAGGCTCTGAAATGCTGGTTAGAAGATATGAAATGCCATATCCTTTGAATCAGACCAGATCTACGCGTAGATTAGGGAACGAGTGGTTAATGTAGGAGACATTTGTTTTATGATCAATACTGGTTGACCGAACCGTCCAAATGATGCATTTATATGACTATGAAGGTACTCTGAATAATCTAGAGATGTTTCGATAGAATTTGATTTTGAGGAGCACCAGGTTTCATAATTCGGCCACTAAAACATGTGTGCAACGTTCCCCACCCACCAATTTAAATTCAGTTAATAAATTCCTCATACAGATCTATGATTACTGAATCTTATTGAACAGGTTAAGGACAACCTAATTACCTGCGTTGATGAATAAAAAATTGGTAAGATAAAGTACAAAATTTATAACTAGAATGACCCGATGCTTGGACAAAATAGTGTTCACTCTTTTTGAGGCGTGGTACGTAGTCTACTATTCACGATGGTAAGGTAGTCATCTACAGGTATTGTATCGAGGACAAAAACCGACGATATAATCCAGATAAGGCAATTCATAGAAAAACTTGATATGCACACCATGGTCTCCTGAGGGAAAAAATTAAATCCACTTAAGAACAACATCCAGATATATTTGGTCTAGACGTGAAAAGCCATTTGTTTTACCAGAAATCGTCTAAGCGATGTTATGAAAGTGCTTCCTTTCGAAGCGTTGGTTAATGATCAGTTACTATGATATCTTTTACGAGTTACGGTTGTTGATCAAAACAACATGTTAAGGTTTCCTTGCAACTCATAAATAATGATTTTTAAATAGTAACCTCGTGAAAAAGCTTCACAACTTACGTGGTACGCAGACAGCTCAAACTTGATAACTAGTCAAAGTATTAATGAAACGAGAAGTTTGTTAACTCAAAATATCAAACTTACGAGGTGACTTCTCACAGGCCAAACAATGTCCGTTTATAATGTCGTCCAACGAATATGGGATTTCAGTAAGTTTTTCTTGTTGTAAGTTTAAACCAGAGCCTGATAGTTTTAGGTGCTCGGCACATCTTAACACATATTCCGGAAGTTTAGTTGTCCATAAATCATGGACAGTGAATCCTGCCTTTGCAGGAGCTATCCAGGCTTGCTTTTTGTCTGCGAACCTAGTCACTCGAAATCTTGACTGTGGAGATAAAGTTTTAAGATCATCCTCCGTAAGTTCTACCGGAGTCGGAGACATTTCAGCGTTTTCAGAGCGTTTTAGGAGAGATTTAGACGAACCTCTTAAGGGGCGCTTTTTGAGTTCTGCATCGCTTTTCATATGCTTCAATCTCTTTCTAGGTAGTTTTTTAGACATGGTGACACTTTTCGACTTCTTTGTTTCAAGGCTGGCTGATGTTGAAATAGGAGGATGACTGCCCTGGAAATGTTTCTCAGAAGTTGGTGAAATCTTATTTTCTGCGTTGATTTTTTCATGCCGAACGCTTAACAATACAAACCCTGGTCTCGTACGACCTCGTATACTCTCAACTATGTCATTGCTTGGCTCAGAAGGGAAATCCAGAGAACCTCTCCGTATACAGTGATCTATGTCCTTCATCGTAAATGTTTGAGCAGTTGGTCCACCTGGGGACGCATCAGGCACGGCTTGGCTGGCTGGGAATGTATCTTCCGTAGAATTATCTTGTTGAACAGAAAATGGATATAAGACGATGGGTTGACTCGAGTATGCTACGGTAACTGGACTTCCTTGGGTCGGATTACTGATTTCGTCATTTGGAGTTATGTGTAAAGACAAACCACTTTCGCCCTCAAACTTGGCTTTAACAGGGACCAAAAATGTCGACATATCTGAGTTTTCGTTATTTACAGTTGAAACTGGGTTGGAACTTGCATCAAAGTCAGAGTTTTTGACAAAACATGGCAGTAATTTAGGGTTTTGAGACTCATTATTGGAGTCTTTAGTTAGTATTAGTGTGTCTTTAATTGAGTTATAATGTTCAGCAAGCTGCAACTCAATTAACTTTTGAAGCAACAGGAGTTGAAGATGTTTTTGGGCATTTGTGTCCACGTTGCTCGAACTCTGGCTCTGAATACTGTAAGGAACATCATTGATATGATTTTGCATACTCGGAATGTTTATCTGGTTAAATTCAGCATCATTTGAACTTACTTCTGAGTTTGGAAAAATGAAGCCATGGCATATTGGATGACTGTAACTCTGTGTATCACCGCCTACAGTCTCATTGGAGGCACATGCACGTTGTAGCGACAAAGGCACATTTGTGGGATTTAATGGCATATATATCACATCATTTGTTGGAATAAGCAAATTAGGTGAAGATTCAAGGGGATATGCATTGAAAGCTGGTTGTCGAGAGGAACCACTTGGACCTTCTTTAGCAGAATCTGGACTTGTTTTGCGAATATCGAAGCTATTTAAGCATGAGTTTTGCGAAGAGGCCGTCATCACAAGATCTAAGTGAAATCCAATGACGTATTTCAAAGTTTCGCAAGATTCAGTGTTGATTGAATTTACTTGAACAAACAAGCTTTCCCAATCGTAAGTCCAATCAACCCAGTTGGGAGTTGTACAAGCTTCTCTCAACACGCTTCATTTCTTATTGAAAGTAACAACCGGCATGACGGTGTGAACTGTATGCCTATATATATTATTTCATGCTTTGCTTACTCTATCTGAGTTTCAATGGACTGTTGACGTATGTTGTGTTATTTTTCTGTCCAGCAATGAGCAAAACGACTTTCACCACCCAGTTCATATATAGACTCATTCAATTCACATATATGTAATATCCAAAACGTGGTCATTTTTTAATGGGTAAATTTATCCGCAACGCAACCATGTAAACTTAATGTATCGCCCAGGGTTATTTGTGCGTTTAAGCAACCACAGATTTCGTCATTTCATAATGTATTTTAATTAAATAACTAGATTATGTTGTTTCAGAACAACGCCTTAGACGAACTGGCTGCATCTGCTGATCGTATCTTAGAGATTACGAATTCTTCTACGGCAGAGGTTTTTTCAGTCAAAGAAAAAGCTCAAACGACTCAGAATGACATATCGAGTTATGTCACACACTTACGCGTTATCTTAGTCTTCGTACCGACCGTAAGAGATCGCGCACTCCACGTATAAGCATTTTGCGTAAGCGATCTGTCTCTAGACCATGAGAGACGGATAATCCCGACTGGTGCTGGTATCATAACCAGTATGGAAAGTTTTCCAGAAATTGCAGAAAACCCTGCAATTTTCCCAACACGAAACCGACTGACTCGAAAAACAACTCGGGAAACTTCCAAGCCGGCAAGCGATAACGGCAACCGTAGTCGGCGAACACAGCCGTCTGTTGTACGTCACAGATGTGACAACGAGAGTTCGTTACCTCATCGACACTGGCGCAGAAGTTAGCGTTCTCCCAGCGAATCCCAACAACCGGCTTAACGAATCGGCCTTAAACTTACAGGCGGCAAACGGAAAACCGATCGCTACGTATGGCAAAAGGTACGTTTACCTTAACGTGGGTTCACGCAAATTCATCCACTGGATTTTCGTTGTTGCAGATGTTTCTATGCCAATCATTGGTATGGACCTTCTACAACACCACAATCTGATCATCGATACGCGCAAACGGAGGCTAGTAGACGGAAACACTAATTTGTCCGTTTGCGTAACCTCTTTTACTGGTTGTAGAGTATCCCCAGTCACAGTTAAACATATGATAAACCCACACTATCAGCTACTACTCGATAAGTACCCTGGGATACAACAAACTCAACCGAGATTACCGTGTGTAACCAGCAATGTTACACATCACATCACGACTACAGGACCACCTGTATTCTCTAAAGCACGACGACTAGCTCCTGAAAAGCTAAGGTTAGCGAAAAACGAATTCGATCACATGATGGACTTAGGAATCATACGACCGTCAAGTAGCCCATATGCATCTGCGTTGCACATGGTCCCTAAAAAGGACAGCAACGATTGGCGTCCAACTGGTGACTATCGGCGATTGAACGCGAAAACCATTCCCGATCGCTACCCGTTGCCTCACATTCACGCCTTGACAGCTACCTTGAAAGGTACAACTGTCTTTTCGAAAATCGACTTGGTTAAAGCGTATAACCAAATCCCTATGGCTACTGACGACATACCGAAAACAGCTATCATAACTCCCTTCGGACTCTATGAATTTTTGCGAATGCCTTTCGGCCTAAGGAATGCTGCTCAAACATTCCAAAGACTCATAGACGACGTTTTTCGAGGTCTCAACTTCGTACACGCGTATGTTGACGACTGTCTAATCGCAAGTCCGGACAGAGAAACACATCTCAAGCATCTGGATCTTGTTTTCGAACGACTACAAAAACAAGGCATTACTGTAAACGTTCACAAATGCCAAATTGGGACCGACTCAGTAGACTTTCTGGGACACACTATCGATGTTCAAGGAATCCGACCCCTTAGAGCCAAAGTGGCGGCCATTCTGGATTACCCAGAACCGACCACCGTCAAGCAATTACGCACGTTTAACGGCCTCGTAAGCTTCTATAGACGTTTCATACCGAAATGCGCATTACTTATGAAACCTCTTACCGACCAACTTCGTGGAAATGCGAAATCCATTAATTTGGACGACACCGCATGAACAGCATTCTCCACAGTTAAGGAACTGATTGCTAAAGCAACAATGCTTGCACATCAGGACACCGAAGCACCCATTAGTATCGCAGTAGACGCATCAGACTCGGCAATCGGAGGAGTCTTACAACAATGGGTTAACAACTCCTGGCAACCCTTGGCATTTTTCTCTAGAAGGTTGCTAGACACTGAATCAAGGTACAGTACATTCGGTAGGGAACTCCTAGCTATGTATTGTGCTGTACGGCATTTCCAACACTGTATCGAAGGCCGTGAATTCACCCTTTTCACTGACCATAAACTTCTTACTTTCTCCTTCAGCTCCTCTTCAGACAAGTACTCTCCCCGTGTGTCTCGACAACTGGACTACATTTCGCAGTTTACTTCAGATATTCAACATATTTCTGGAGCAAACAATGTGGTTGCAGACGCCTTATCTCGCATAACTTCCTTGAACAATTTGTCAAGGAATTGACCTTCTTAAACTCGCCGAGCTTCAAAAACAAGACAGTGATCTTCAGCACGAGGTATCGTCTACAAACCTTAAACTACGCATCAAACAGGGGAGAACAGGTAAGGAAACCTTACTGTGTGACACATCTACAGGTAGGGATCGCCCAATCGTACCGAAAAGTTATCGACGCAACGTCTTCAATACATTGCGCAAACTTTCTCATCCAGGTGTACGTGCAACCATCAAGCTTATAGCAGAACGGTTTTGCTGACCTGGCATGAATAAAGACGTGAGGGAGTGGGCACGCTCCTGTGTAAGCTGTCAAAAATCTAAGGTCATCAGTCACAATAAATGTCCCTTAGGCTCATTTAAAACTCCCGATGCACGTTTCGACCATGTTCACCTGGATTTGGTAGGACCGTTACCAGATTCGAATGGATACGTTTATCTTTTAACTTGCGTAGACCATTTCACTCGATGACCAGAAGCAGTACCTATCAAAGACATTACTTCTGAAACAGTGGCCCGCGTTTTCGTCGAACGATGGGTAGCAAACTTCGGCTGCCCTTCAACCGTCACTACAGACCTGCCTGCCTGGAGTTATTCCTGATCACCTGATACTAGACACGGAAGCCTGTTACTCGAAATCTTCTTCTATTCCGTCCACAACCATTTGAACACATGAACTAGGTGCTGAGTGGCTCGTGTATCACAAGTTCATTGCAACGATTAAGTAGATAAAACAAAGTCGCATTAGATTTGAAAATTTATTCAGGAACTTTCATTAAGAATCGAATATCAAACAAGGGTTCAAACTAAGTCCCAGTTTAAAAGTTGCACAGGTAATGTTAAGCTGTGGTCTTTGTTCTTTTTTCGAAACGAAAGGGTAAAATAAGTAACTCAAAAAGTACTGGAAGTGGTTGTGAGACTAAAATGGACGTCCAGCATCCTTTTTATAATCTGCTGTCAGTTGGATCTCCCGTAAACAGCTCCATATGGTCATAGTTCTAAGGGCAAAACAGATCTTAGGATCTGTGAAGGCTCACTCCTGTTGCATTCTAAATGAAAATATAGTGATGAATTTAGTAAGAAATGTGGATTAGATAAATAACCAAATGAAATGTTTTTTAGCAAAGGCTTAATGCAGTTGTGATTTACCTTGAGTTCATGAATATTAAACTCCGCCTGGAGTCCCTCCGGGGGCTACTGCCGGTCCCAAGCCCGGATAAAGGAGGAGGGTTGGGCATGGGGTTAGCGTCCCCATCCCGTAGAAAACTAACTCGCTAAAAAAACGCTAACCAGAAAAAATTATTCAAACCTTTTAAACTCTGCCCTGGGAGTCAGAAGATCTTCATTTAGAAGAATTATGACGCCTCATGATGAAAGCCGAATCCCTTCGGAAGTTACGAGGCCGATGCCCCTTCTAACAACCTGAGCGATCATTTATTTAGGTACATGGAATGTTCGTACAATGTGGGACACCGGAAGAGCCTTTCAGATTGCTGCAGAAATGAGAAGATACAACCTAGAGGTACTTGGGATCAGTGAAACACATTGGACACAAGTTGGACAACAACGACTAACTACAGGAGAGCTCCTGTTATACTCCGGCCATGAAGAAGAAAATGCACCACATACACAAGGAGTTGCATTGATGCTGTCCAAACAAGCGCAAAATGCGCTTATAGGATGGGAATCTCATGGACCAAGGATCATCAAAGCCTCGTTTAAAACAAAGAAAGAGGGCATTTCAATGAACATCATCCAATGCTATGCGCCTACCAACGACTACAATGAAGACGCTAAAGATCAATTCTACAATAGGCTGCAGTCAATCGTTGAGAAGTGCCCAACAAAGGACCTGACCATTCTGATGGGAGATTTCAACGCCAAGGTTGGAACGGACAACACTGGATATGAAGACATCATGGGACGACACGGACTGGGAGAAAGAAACGAAAATGGTGAGAGATTTGCAAATCTATGTGCCTTCAATAAGCTGGTCATAGGCGGCACCGTATTCCCACATAAACGCATACACAAAACCACATGGACTTCACCGGATCACTCTACACAAAACCAAATCGACCATATTTGCATCAACAAAACGTTCAGGAGGACTATAGAGGACGTGAGAACCAAGAGAGGAGCTGATATAGCATCAGATCATCACTTACTGGTCGCCAAGATGAAATTAAAACTCAAGAAGCACTGGACAACGGGGCAGACAGTATCACAAAAGTTCAATACGGCCTTTCTCCAGGATACTAACAAACTCAACAAATTCAAGATAGTCCTCAGCAACAAGTTCCAGGCCTTTCATGATCTACTCAATGGAGAAGGAACTACTGTGGAGAGCAACTGGAAGAGGATCAAAGAGGCAATCACTTCAACATGTCATGAGGCTCTGGGCCAGAAGAGGCACCACCACAAGGAATGGATCACTGTTGATACACTGGATAAGATTCTAGAAAGGAGGAACAAGAAGGCAGCGATCAAT